AATTTTTTTTCCTCCTTCCTAAATTCTGAGATCTGATTTTATTCTTCCTTATTATTTGAAAAAGTTTCCTTAAAATCTAAAATATGATTTTATTTTATTTTCTTATTTCAAAAAGCCTTCCCTAAAATCTGAAATATTATTTTTATTCTCTTTCTTATTTTAAGTATTGCCCAAAATATAGTTCTAGACTCATTTTAAATAAATGATGATGTGCTTAGAGTGAGGGGTCTTGTTTTTGATATCTGATTCAGGTTTTAGCCTTGATATTTTCCAATCAAGGGTTGTATCCGACATCAAATTAGTGATCCGACTGTCCCTCGTCTGAGGCAGTGATTGTCTTTAAGGGATCGAGCGGTGCTCCGACTGTAGCTCGACCTCAACGAGGCATTTATCTTATCATACTTCCATTTACTTGCTGCCATATCAGAATCTAGCCAACACAACCCCCTCTTCCACTGCTGTCAGCCACCTTCTTGCTTCTATCCACCCACCGCAGCCAGCCACCGCAGCCCCTCAAACTTGCTGTCCATCCCTTTCAGGCCCTTCCCGACGGCCTACCGCAACCCCTACAACAGCTACCTTGCTCTCCCGGCCTTTCCCATCGCTGCCAATGCTTCCCTACTCGATGTACACCCTCCGAAAGTGTTGGAAAACCTTCCCAGCTGCTGTCCTACTTCTTCCACAGCAGCCCCCACCTCTCTGGCCTTCACCGCAGCCGCCGATTCAGCCTCCAATGACGTTTCTGCTTCTCTCCAGCTATGGTTAGACGTAGTTGATTCGACCCCGTTACTATCGCCAACCTGCTGTCCGACTTCTTCCGAAGCAGCCCCCACCTCTCCAGCCTTCACCGCAGCTTCCAATCGAGCCTCCCCTCATCTGACTCTCTCCTCATCAAGCATGTTGTTTCTTCTTTATTGAGTCATTAGTTGCAATCTTTTGTTTTGTGATTTTATTTTGTTTGTTGTCTTTCTTTATTTCGAGTCTTCATTATAACCTTGTTTTAAGTCAGTAGTAAAATTGAGTCTTTGCTTCGTGACTTGGGTTAACTCCGGTATCAGGACTGGTGATATTTGTTCTGTATTCAATACTGTTTTCCATATATATGATGCCCAACGATCAATTTCTTGTCTTTTATAACCGTCTTAGAGCTTGCACTTGCACCTTTAAAATCTGCTTATATGGATGATTATTTTGATGGTCAATTAAGATCATACTTTATTGCACTCCTCTTGCAGGGAATGTGGGCAATGTTTATTTTGGACCAAACCATCCAATGAAGCCACATCGTCTCTGTATGACACATCATCTTGTTCTCTCATATGAACTTCACAAGAAAATGGAAATATATGTTAGTTCCGTAGAAGAATGGTTTTTACTTTCTATTTTAGTGGAGCTTGAATTATGACATAGCTTTTATTTTATATTTTGCAGAGACCACACAAGGCATTTCCTGTCGAGCTTGCCCAGTTCCATACACCAGATTATGTGGATTTCTTACGCCGAATTACACCAAACACGCAGCATTTGTTTGCAAATGAATTGACACTGTGTATGAATTGGAATAAATTTATTTTATTATTATTATCTGATCTTAGCTTTGTACTTTTAGCTTGTTTTTCAACAATATCAATTCGTTCAAGGTTGATTCCCAGTATGTAAAGGAGCTAACTTAATTTTTAGAGCATATTTTTTTTTCAACTGATTCTCCTTTCAGATATTTTGATGTGTTTTGAATCTGGATATTTTGCCTAAAATTAGCTTAAACTTTTCAAAATCATTACCTTGATTTCAATTTGACAGAATATAAGTTAATTGAGTTGAAACAGCCAATGGCATAAGAATACAAAGCATATCATTATATTCATGGTAAGGATAAGCAAAGCATTTGGCATAAAAAGGTGAATTGTAGATACAGATTAAATATAGGAGTTGTTGACCAGTCCACAATTACAAGTCCATAACTATAACATACAATATAAGTTTGCATCCCATTTGGTCTAGTGGTTGGAAGTTTTTTCTTTGATTATAAGATCTTATGTTTAAGGCCTAACACATACATGCATTTATGTGAGTTAAAAGAGAAGAAGATATAATATAAGTACACAAAGTCAACCAACAAACTGATAAATCTAACACTTGTCTCATACTGGCATCTAAAATGAAGTAGAGAAGAAAAATAGTGCAATAATTAGTGGCTACCTCGTCATGAATGCCATGAAAATAAAGAAAATCAACATCAAATCGAAGATGGTGATCATTGTCTCACAGTTCTTGAATCTACCTTCGGATTAAAAAATAATTGTCACCATAGATATCGTCCTCATCTGTATTTCTGCCTTCATGTTCATCATTTTATTTGCCAAATGGAGCATGCTCATCATATTTTAGCTAATCTGATCAAATATGTGATTCTAAATATATTTATGGCTTCATTGCATAAAAAATGACACCTTTCAATGTTGGATAGAAAAATGAAAAGGAAGGCATCTTCAAAAATAACATATAACTATGAAACCTTGTACTCAAAGAGTTTTTTTTACACGGTAAAGGTTATATTGCAATTAATTGTTCTAAGTAATTTTTTTTTTATCTAAAAGGTTATTGTATGAAAATATCAAATAATCTAAGTCCACTAAATTTGTGAAATTGAGCAAATCAGATCCAAATGATATGTTGTTTGAGCAAAAGTTTTTTGGCCTTAAATGGACGTTCTCCAAGTAACTAAGAATTGTTGAGCATTGCAGCAGTTATTGGAATTCTAAGTTTATTCATGCATATGCTATTGATTGAGCCATGATTATTACTCTTAAAGTCCTATTTAATGAAAATTGTAATACAAACTAGATTTTTTTTTAATGGATTGGAGTTCTTTAGTATGTTGGATCTTTCAATTATTTTGTGCTCTTTCTTTTTTGCCGTGGTTGTAGTATGCATCAAGCTTAAATCGTTTGAAACATCTTATTTATCCCATGATGCACTCGTAGCAAATACATTTTTGTTCTCATAAAAAATATAATAGAGACCTTTCAAGGGCTTATGGGGTTAACAGTATTTGCTTGTTAGGCTAGAAGAGAAGATTTATATTTGATATCGAGAGGGTTACTTGTGTATGTTAGGATCAGAATACAATGAAAATTTATATGAGCCTGTATTATTTATTTGGGCGAGAGCTACTTTAAGATCAATGCTAATTCCCTTACTATTGGGAAATTATCCTATTAAAGTAATGCTGATGCTGGATGTTTCATCTTCTTAACTTAATGTGGGGATGGGTATCTTTCTATATATCTTTATCTTACGCAGTCGTTCATACGCAAATGCCTGAAAAGTTTCCATTTAGTAGAAATTGTGTTACTTTCTTTATTTAGATTTTATCTTAAAGATGTTGCTAAAAAATCATACTGCTACAGATAACCTTGGTGAAGATTGCCCTGTATTTGAGAACCTGTTTGAGTTCTGTCAAATATATGCTGGTGGAACGATAGGTAAACTATTGACACAAACTACCTTTTCCTTGTTTTATATGTTTCTAACCCACATTCAACATTATAGATGCTGCACGAAGATTGAACAATCAACTTTGTGATATAGCTATCAATTGGGCTGGCGGTTTACATCATGCAAAAAAGTGCGAGGCATCAGGATTTTGCTATATAAATGACTTGGTTTTGGGTATCTTGGAGCTTCTGAAATATCATGCCCGTGTTTTATACATCGACATAGATGTTCACCATGGAGATGGAGTTGAAGAGGCTTTCTACTTTACTGATAGGTATTCTTCTTTTCTATTTTTTTTCCTGTAGTAAACTAAACACTTGAGTTATTCTAGTTACTAAATTTGGAAACATCTTTTTTTTTTTTTTTTTTTTTTGAAAAAAAAATCTGTATCACATTTGATTGAGTAGAGTTTAATGTTCTATCATGAGTGCTAACAGTGTAATATTACAGGGTGATGACTGTTAGCTTCCACAAGTATGGAGATATGTTCTTTCCCGGAACTGGCGATGTCAAGGTTTCTTTTTTCTGTCATCTTTAGTATTGATTGAGATTAAAATCAAACTGTAAATATTTTATGATGCATGAGATGAATTTTGAACCATCAATATTCTCATCAATTTGTTGGCTTTACTTATTATAGAACCCATATTCAAAACTAAAGCAATGTTAAATGGGAAAACTGAGCTTCAGGGTTGGATGAATAAGAATGAATGGGCCAGAAGTTTGAGTTGATATAGATTAAGAAGAGTATTGATTTATGTTTATTTGGCTATCCCTACAATAGTGTTTCTGCCAATTATATTTAAGTTGAGCAGCACAAAGACTCCATCTGAATAGGCTTAGGAAGGAAATATCTGTAGTTAGGCTTAGAGTTTGATTAGGATCGCATTTTTTATCTATAAAAATAAATTCTTTTGATTGAAGTGGATGAATTTATTGATTGTCCTTGTGTTCTTTTATCTTACATATATTTTACTGGTAAGAGAGGGAGAAATGAGAGGTTAGACAAACTAAAGAGGGAGAGGGAACCGAATGTGAAGAGTGAGAGGAATGAGAGGCAGTAAAGAATTCTCATTTTGAAAAAAAAATTCTATAGGTATAAATAAGCTTTCTATTTATAATAATAGGAGAATAACATTTAGTAACAAAGTAGGAATGAAAGTTGATTTCATATTCAAAGTTATAGCGGTATCTTAGCCACCTTATCCACAAAACAAGTAGGGAGATGTTAATCATAATATCTCTTTGAATAGGAGAGGAAGCAAGGAAAGACCATCTCTCTCCTTGGATCAGGAGTTGTGGTAGGTTACCATTAAAACTCATTTTGGATTATTTGTTGACATTGCACTTCATGCAGCATTTTACTCCGTGATGGTGTGCCACTCCTACGTGCTTGAATTGAAGTGTCATCCAGATAAACTTTTCATGTGAATCCATGAGATTCTATGAAAGCTTAAACATGTGTTTGGTTAGAATGAATTGCTTAACCTATTACTCATATTAGCTTTGGCTAGGAATAGTCGGTCAGTTCTCATGAAATTAACAAAATCTGATAAATTTGGTTTGATGGTGCTAATGGACGGAAAACTTTGAGGATCGTGGAACTTATCATCAATCTTTTGCTTGTAAATCAAAATTTAAATATAGGGAGAACCTCAGCATCAACCATACCTTGGTCTTTTGATATATTTATCTTCTTCTTTCTAGTGAAAGGCTTGAAACTTTCAAGAAAGGGTTTGCGGTAAACAATTAATTGTTGGGTTTCTTGCTTTCTTCTTAGGTGGACTTCTTGGTTTTGTTTGACACAAGGTGTTCTCCTTTTTGAATTGCTTACACCTTTGCAGTTTGTTTTATACTTAAATCGTTTGTTCGTAATGTTGTGCTTTTTCTTGCTTTGCTTGATAATGTTGACACGTGCTTGCTTGTTGCATTTACGGATATTAAAAGTCCACTTTAAAAATGAAGCGATGCTCTAGCCACAACATTGCTTACAAAGTATGAGCTCGCAACTATGAGTGCTTCTCACGCTACTATGTTGTATTGCATCAGATCATTGAACTCTCAGCTCTTGTTCAAAATGAGATGATAGTGTCAAAGTTTAGAGAAAAATAGGCTGAATTCTAAATAGGCTCGATGTCTTTTCCCTTTACTTTCATTCCATTAAATAATAATCTTACAATTTATTTTAGGTACAAAATAAATTATTTATTTTATTTTAGATAACTTAATAATATATATTCCTAATCTAAATATTCAGCTAAAAGAGAAATAAATCATAATAAAGACATTGAAAATAATTTAAATAATGAATCTCCTAATTATAGAAAACTTCTAATTTAGCTGTCTGATTTTCACCCTTCTTGATTGACATCCCCTCTCAAATTGCTGCTGACTGATCAAAAATCATCAATTTGCAAACAAGGAACTGATAACATTGTCATGATGTCAATCATTTCTGTTTGACATTCCCTCTCAAATTGATGTTGACTGATCAAGAAGCATCAATTTGCCAACTAGGAACTGATAACATTGCTAGGACCAAAAATCCTAAAGCCCGAGAGTGTTGGAGCCCGAGAGTGTCGAAACCGTGAATGCCGAAACCTAAGATCTATGGTTTACCGAAGTCGAAGTCATCAATCTAAGGAGGAGTGCCGAAGCCGAAGCTTAAGAGGAAGCCCGAGAGTGCCGAAACCGTGAATGCCAAAACCTAAGATCTATGGTTTACCAAAGTCGAAGTCATCGATCTAAGGAGGAGTGCCGAAGCCGAAGCTTAAGAGGATGAAGCAGTCGAAGATGCCACAAAAGCAGCGATGGCTAGCGAAGGGGATCCAAATAAGATGAAGCAAATTAAGTGAACGAGATCGCAGATTGCGGATGAGACTTGAATCGCAGTCGAGATAACCGATTACGGGATTGCGGACGAGCCAACAAAAGGACAGGATCGCAGATCGCAACGGATGAAAAGCCTTAGATGGGCGAATCAAGGCAAAGAAATAGTTCCTCCATTCCAGCAAGAAGGTCGACGGGAAGGGAGCCTTGACGGTCCTCCAATAACTACGGTGGTTAGGGCACAATTTTGGCTCTGCATGTCAAAGTTTAAAAAAAAATAGGTTGAATTCTGAATAGGCTCGTTGCATGCCTTTTCCCTTTACTTTCATTTCATTAAATAATAATCTTACAATCTATTTTAGGTACAAAATAAAGTGCATAATCTATTTTAGGTAACTTAATAATATATATTCCTAATCTAAATATTCAGCTAAAAGGGAAATAAATTATAATAAAGACATTGGAAATAATTTAAATAAAGAAGCTCCTAATTATAGAAAACTCCTAATTTAGCTACCTGATTTCTGTCCTTCCTGATTGACAGATAGTTCATATTTCATGAAACAGATCAACTTTTACCACTATAATTTGGGCATGAACATTCGCTTTTCCTCACCAGTTCTCATGATTGTTTAGTTGTTGCACATTGATTTTCTATACTCTCTTGCCAGAACTAGCTACTTTTGGGTGTTTTTTTCACACTCTATCGGGTTTCTTGCATGCTTCTCACTAGTATTTGTTGTTGATGCTAATAGCTTTTGACTCACAAGTTTCTTATCAAGAATGCTTCTCAATGTATTTTTTGCGTGCTCATTGATTCCTCATCTTCATACTCTCTTGCTTCACGCTGCCACAGCTTCTTGATTATCAGGTGGTCTCTCAATCTCATTTTTAAATTTTAATTGCTCTTTCATCACTTTATTCTTTATATCTTCTGTTGGAATTCCTGGGCATTAAAAGTGAAAAGTAGGACCATTTGGTATAGAAGGAAAGCACCAAATGATGAAGGAAACCTTGGCCAACTTTGGCATTGAAGGTTTACTTGGGGAATCTTGCTATAATTTTGATTTTATGTATTCTAAGTTGGAGGGCTATTCTGTGAGTTTCAATTAAGGTTGTATGACTGCAAATGCGTTTCCTATTTTGATAGATTATTTCTCTCATTTTCTTCATAGGTTAGTCTGTGTATTACCCTGTATTAATAGCTTTGAATGAATAAGAACTCCTTTATTCTTTTATGTTTTCCGCATAGGCCTTTTGATTTCTTAATGTTGGGCCCTTGGCCTTCATTACACTTACATGAGCCCTAGCAATCTTGCTGTAGATCTCTACTCGTTGATACTCTTACATCGTTTTTGCTCTCTTCAGCCTAGTCTAAACAATATCAATAACTGTCTCATTACATTAGCCCTAACAGGATTCTTTCTCTCAGCTTCTTCATTGTTGGTCATCAACTCTTGTGACTAACTTGCGATATTGTTTGCTATTGATCTCCTCTACAACCTCGACCTTATAAGCTTCTAGCTGCTGTATTGCAATTACAATTCTTTCAAAAACATTCATTGTTGTTTTCCTTCGATAAATCTTCTAGCAACTGCATTGTTTATTCATGCTCTCAACCTTGATGATTGCTGCTCAACTACTCTTGCGACTTATTTGTGACATCAGTTACTTTGAATCTATTTTATGATGCCAACCTTTTAATTTCAACCATTGCCTTATGTGGAATTTTGAGTTCCCTAATTTAGATTTATTCTCTTTTTTTGCTTTACTATGTTGAATGTTCTTCTTTATTTAGTTGTTTTGCTTTGGTAAGTTGTAATTGGCATAATTAAGTTTGCCCTAATAGGAAATAAGAGAATTTCTTTTATAATTAGGGGAAGAGTTGTATTATGATGATTAAGTAATTAGAGAATATGATTTTCTCCAGCTTTTTACATTGTATCAGAGCATTAGGTTTGACTTCGATGGGATTAGGCCAATGTTCATCATCTAGCGTTGACTTCGTTTGAATCGCTTTATTGCGTTGTCCCCTCTTCTGGATTGATCGACCGCATTGTGGATCACTCGTCCACATCATTCGCTCATTGGGATTTCTCATCCGCATTATCCACTCGTCTGGATTGTGCATCTGCTTTTAGTGCTTGTATGGTTAGCCCCATCTGGTTCGTCTAAAGCATCGTTTGGCTCCTTCTGAGTCCCGCGAAAACCCTCATCCGTCGGCCCTCTTTTCATCCTTCATCGGCCTTCTTCTGTTGTTGCTGCAACATCCCTCATATGTCTGTCTTTCTCGACTCCTCTTTCTTGCAGCTGCCAGTTTCTCTGCAGGTCATTCCTATCTCGAAACCTTCCCAGCCTTCCAATTGTTTGTCGTTCAAGCAAACAACGCAATTAGCCAGGAATTTTTTCCAACCATAAACATGTATATAGCTTATGACAAAGTATGACATGATGATGTCTAGTTCTATTATGGAGGTTAGTTCTGCATCAAAAACCAGAAATTCTGTCCAAACAACCTTGAAACTCGATCAATTCATAATAAATCATAAACTTAATGGCCACAACTTCCTTCAATGATCACAATCCTTGTTTATGTATATTTGTGGAAATAGAAAAGCGGAGCATCTCACGGGAGAAGACATAATTTAGCAGCTCATTGATTATAACCATCGCTCATGAAAAATC